GGTCCAAGAAATAAAAATAAGAGGAGTGAATCAATCTGCAGGTCATGGTGAGTAAATCTTGTTTCTGTGTTTTACTCTCCTATTGACTCCACATGGAAGCACACATTCAGTTCCCATCCAGGGAGGATGGTCTGATTTAAGCATACTTATACTAGGTGTATATATACTACAGGCTTTCTTATGGGCCATTCCAATTACCAACTTGATCATATTAAGAACTACCTACCACACACCTTCAGGTGTGTCTGAATGCTTCCACAGAGGATGAACCAAGGGGGTAAGACCCACCCTGAATGTGGGTGGCCCTATCCACGGGCTGGACTCGTCTAAATAAATAGAGAAAGCCAGATGAGCACCAGCATGCCCCTTTCCCTGTTTCCTGACCCACAGAGATGTTAGAAGGTGGTCACCTGCTGCCATACCACCCCCTCCATAATGAGCTGTATTCCCCAAGCCCTCAGTGAAAAGAAGCCTTTCCTCTCTCAAATTGCTTCTTATTACCTATCACAGCAATAACAAAGGTAAATTCAGACTCATAGCAGAAAGAGCCATGGCTCTGCTCAACCAACATGGGCGTGTTCTCTGCCCTTTAGATACGAACAGCATAATGTAGCAAAAACACTCAGGAAAGACGCAACCACGGAGCGAAAAGAGCTATCACACCTCCAGCGGAAGTTTATGATGTTGTGGTTCACAGTGAATGCCAGTCTCCTCCTCTGTCGTCAGGCAATAAATTCACTGCCGATCAGCAACCATAAAATATGAGGAAGGAGAGGAAGACGCAGAAAGGATTTCAGTGAGATATTTAAGCAAATAGATCTCTAACCTGGGTTCCCCACGGTCGGAAGGTTCTCAGGTTCACATATTTAAAGCAAGTCGAGTGTTTGTTTGCCTTATGGATTTTGCCTATAGATGAAATTTTAACAGGCAGTGGGTTCTCTTAAATTCCTGAGCACCTCCTAATGATTTTAGCATTTACATGTTGGGGATTTTTTGGTCTTTTTGAGACAAGGTCTCCCTGTAGCCTCAGCTGGCCCGGAGCTCACTATGGAGACTAGACTGGCCTCAGTCTCTTAGAGATCTGCTTGCCTCTGCTTCCTGAGTCCTGAGATTAAAGGTGTGCACCACCATGCACACTTCTTTATGTCAGGTTTCTTCAGAACATGCCTTTTATGTTCATCATGGGGAAAGTACGCCAAGCATGTGCATGTGCACTCACACACACACACACACACACACACACACACACACACACACACACACACACACACACACACACTCAATCAGCAAACACAAAAGACATACAAATTGGTACTTTCTTCACCTCCTTTCCCCTTGCCTCATGTGATGTGTGCACTCAAGGAGAGAAATTATGGTCATCAAAGGCAAGACTGCAAATAATTGGGACCCACACCTTTCAAGCAAAATAAAAAGTCAGTAATTTTGAGGGCAGCCTATGGATAGCTGTAGTCTAGCTCCAGAGCCCCCTAAAACCCACAGCCAACTTCCCTTACTCTCAGAAAACCCCCAAGCCCCTTCCCGCCCACCTTACCCACTTCAAGTCCCTTGTCAAGCTGCAAAGAACTCTGAAAGGCCCTTGATACACACAGGAGATTATTACAGGGCTCGACGATGCCAACTCTGTAATTATGGCTGCTGTATGATTTCCATTATTCTCACACCCTGAGCTTGGTCGCTCACAAAACTTGCCACAAAGTCCTCCTGCAGCCTCTAGTCCTCCACGGCTGGACCTTTGCCCAGAAAAGTGGCTGTGGGTCTGATAACCTCTGGGACAACCAAACCAGAGTTACTGCAAGGAAAGGGGCGTGGTGCTCCATGGAAGACGGGTGGTGGGAAATTCTATTGTCTAGGAAAACAAATAAACCGTCCACTTTCGCTTTTTATTATTTCAAACAACAGAGGTGCCGGCCCTGCTTTCCTTTTCCAACTCAGACTGTCCCTTGGGCTGGCTGTGCTGCAGAAGCCGACGCCAGGCTTGAGCACAACTATTAGGCAGCTGCCACCCTGCGCCTGTGGAGCAGAAGGTTTGGCTGCGTGGATGGCACAGCTCTCCCCAGCAGGACAGCCAGCTCATTCCCTCCATACAACCCCTCTGCTCCTAGCTTTCAGATATTTATGCCTGGCCAGCCCCCTCCACTGCTGGGGAAATTAAATTTAATGTCCCAGGTGGCTGAAACAGGACTATTCTTACACAAACTCACCCAAGGGAAAGGTGAGAAATGCCAGCCTGCACACAGCTGACACAACTCCAAGAGTCCAACTGGGTGTCGCCTGTTGCCCACACATGGCTCTTCTCCTACCTTCCCCAGATGTGTGATTCCTAAGCATTTGCTCACCCAGGCTCCTGGGGTGTGCTCACCCTCCCTCACGGAGCTGTGCTGCACTGAGCCTTGGTGGCAGGCGACAGGCTTCTGTGCCATTTTAAACCATCTCAGATTTATAGTACAGCTGCAACCAAAGTATATCCCCCCCCCCAATAATTATTCTGTTATATTCAACGAACTCTCTATGTTCCTTTCACTGGTCCCAAGACCAGTCAGCCCCAGTAATGACACTAAATAACCTCTCATACAGGAGCTATCCAGACTGGCCAACTAGTACATAATCTCCAACAGAGATTCAGTGGGTAGTAGTCTGTTAGAGTGACACAGGAAGATGCTTCTCCATTGTACTAAGATGGGACTCACTGCAGAAAAGAGTTAAAGCATCCCAAAGTGTCTTGCCTGTGGATTTACTCTCAATAGTGCTTATTCCCCAGAAAGAGCAGACAAAGTTGATTAACAGATGCTTCATGTATGACCTGTGTACGGTGATTGTATTGGTCAGTGTTTTGCCGCTATCACAAAATACCCAAGATAATTAGCTTATAATGAGGAAAATGATGATTTGGGCTCACAGTCTGAGAAGTTCTAGTCTCATTTCACTTGGCCTCATTGCCTTGAGCCAGTAGCAAACTGTTACATCATGAGAAGAACGTATGATGGGGAAAAATACGTCGTGAGTCAGGGAGCAAGAGAAAAACAGAAAGGGACAGAAGTCATACAACTCCCCTCAAGGGCAAGCCCTACTGACCTCAGGGCCTTGTACCAGACCCCACCTCCCAAAGGTTTCACCATCATCCAGCAGGGCCTCCCTGGGGATAAGCCTTCCAAACAGGAGCCAAACTGCAACAGCAATGCCTCTGAGATTCGGAGTTCACTTTTCCAGCTAACTGAATAATAGCCAAAACAGATAGATCTAAACAACCAGCAGAAATGCCCACAAGGTCCCTATCTACAAGAGAACTCACAGACTTCTCTTCCTGGTTATAGGGGGGCCCACTAGACACCCCTCAGCAAGTGTGGAGGCCTGATTTCCTAGCCCACTTAAAGTTACATGCCTCAGCCTAAGGGAGAAGGGACAGTGCCGGAGTCAACAGAATCTCCCACAGTAACAAAGTGGTGAGTGGCAGGGAGCGTGAGAAAGCATGAGGGGAAGCAGCAGGCAGACAGCAATCAGACATGGCTCTGCAGTGACAGCACACCCTGCCTCACAGCATCTCTCTTGGTATCTACAAAATTCGGTTCAATACATGGGTAAAATTCCCAAAGAGTCACAGCAGCAAGGTTCAATTATGCATACTACATTGTATGAAGAAAAGGCAGGCATCTATGAAATACAATGCTCGAAGATTCACAGCCAATGGGTAAATTATCTTTCAGCTGTGACACTGATGGCAGGACACTAACATGAGGTGGTTCCCTCTTCCTGGGTGAGACTGGGTATGCATAACGCGTGTCCTTACTCTTTACAGTGTTGCCATGGCACTCCAGGGGGATATACTGCTTTCTTTTCCAGATATTCAAATAGTTATTCTATATACCCATAACCCAGTCATGCTTACTCAGCTCCTGTCTTGCACACCCTCCACATTGTCACACTCTAGACTCACAATCTATGCATGAAATTAAGTTCCCAGAAGGATTTGACTGCTGTGCCATTACATAGTGGGACTGTAGAACAGACACAGTTTTCTAGACCTTCCCAGAATGTGTCCCTACGACCATTCAGAGCTAAAGCCCAGACATATAGCAAAGGGAAAATTGGGATCAAGATTCAGTCTTTATCAGTTTGCTTAGTCTGAATCGTACAATGTTTGGAGAATCCCAAGGAAAGCCTGAATAAGATAAGCAAGAGTTCTTTCCTTCTTAAAAAACTGAAGAGCAACTAATGACCAGCCAACAGAAAACAGAGCCTCCGGCTTCCAGAATTAGAAAGACGACCCTATCAAAGAGGGCACACAATGAAGTCACCTCTATTCTGCTGAGAAACCAGATCTGAGAACATTTCTGAACGGCAGGTACACCCAACATGGCCAGTGGCCAAGGTCACCCAGTATGCCATTACAAGGGTCACAGGCTAAGTCCTCAGACCCTATGATTCCATCCACTGTAAAGCCACTGCTACAGTTCCACTGCAGCTACAACGTCCTCTTCTCACAAGTTGGCTCTTGGCCCCATTAGCAGCTCTCAAACAGGTCTACACATCACTCCATCTATTCCCTGAATGACTTCCAGATGGATGCACCATCCCAGAAGGGCTGGAACAAGAGGAACAGGCACATCCTTCCCCTCCCCCTGTCCACCTTCTCCAGCCACCTACACTTAATAGAGCCTTCACCTAAGGGCGCAAGGCCAAGTAGAACAAAGTAGACCATTTGGAACAACCTAGTAAGGCTGCACTAAGAATTCTCATGTGCACGCCAGCTCTTGGGAAAGGTGAATTCATCCACTCATGTGGCCTGATTCCCATAACAACCTACAAATGAAGGCAGAGAAAGGCCACTCAACTGTCATAACAGCAACAGCAAATCTCCTCAGCTCAAACCTGTCTTACCGGTCCACCAGGCCCATGACAATAAGAAATCATATGGACAGACTCCACCCCTGAGGGGACAGACTGTCTTTACAATAATCAAACTGATCACACCTCTTTCCTACCTTCTTTAGTTTGCCACTTTTGGTGCCCACGAAGGCCAGAGAGTGATTCTTGTAGACATAGGCGATGACAGAAGTCATGCGGTCCCTGTCCTCCGTGAAGACAGGAATGCCACGTACCATCTCAGACACTCCCAGAGGGGCATTCATGTCCAGGCCACAGAAGTTATCGTCTATCGTTAGGAGCTGAAAATTAAATAGGAGAAAAATTAGAAAGGAGCATAGCATTGAGGCAAATGGCAGAAGTGTGAAGTCAGGGACCTCTAGAGCTCCAAGACTTTTTAGCAATGGATCATGTGATCCAAACCCTTTCTGCTTCATATAAAAATCTCAGCTGCAGAGGAACTAGATGGTCTGCCCAAAGTCACCTGAGTAAGCACCTGCAGGACCATGGCAACAACACAGTTCCCTGGAAGTTCTCACCAGCTCCATGTCCTCTCTGAACTCCTTCAACCCTTCCAGGTATCTTCTTGGTGGCTATAGTTGACCATCATCACAGCCACATGGAAAAGCTCTAGCCCAGCCTCTTGCATGGGTTCCAAACATCTGGGCTTTGGTATAAGAGGGCAGTGACCTCCATGTCAATATACTGACTATCAAGCAGATGAGCTGGCGAGGGCTCAAATGGGGAGAATGAAGGTTGACACATTGAAGTATGACTAACAGAATCTCAGTAGAGACATGTCTACATGCTCAGCAAAGGGGGAGGATTCAAGGAAGCAAGGTTCATACCTGCTCAAGAGCCTCCCAGGTTCCCTATCTCCTAGAGTATAATGAAGAGAGGTAGCCATGGCCTTGTGATGTTTAGACCAGCCTTTCCCAGAGCACCATCTATGCAGCCAAGTTCCACAAGTTGTTCCACCTAGATGGACCCTTTAAGTAAACTCCTGGGAAACACTAAGTGATTCATAATATAAGATCCTAAGAAGAAATGTGTTTAGCCTCGTCTCAGGCTTTCCCAAATACTTCCAAACTTTACACTTCACATTTCTGAGCACTCTCTAAGGGGAAAACTCTTGAACTATCCTGTGAGACACATAACTCTCCTTCTGACTCCACAAAGTCAGGGATGAGTGGGAAGAGCTTCTGGGCCAATTTTCCAGTATTTCCACTCAATCTTCCTCCTTTTCATACCAGACTTCTAGCTACCCCATGTAACAGAGGGGACCCCATGCAACACTGGGGTCCTCCCAGGTTCTATTGTACCATGAATGATAAAGACCTCCACAGTGGCTGATGAGAACCCCCATACTTGCCTTGAGCCACTCTGATTTGGCTCAAGCTTCTCCAAGGTGCTAGGGACTTACTAGATTTCTCCCCCTTTCTTGGAAGCACTGTGTGGCCTCAGAAGGGTTATTCCGTCTTCCTGTGCTTTTACTTTCCACACTACAACGAGGAAGGAAACAATCCCTGCTTTTTGATGGGCTACCATAAAGCCTATGGAGCTTGGGCCTGTAAACGTCTTTGGACCTTTCAGAGAACAAAGTGAAATAAAATACAAGGTGTCACTTTTTTAAAGGCTTCAGTGCAGCCAAAGCAAGAGGCATCTGGAGAACAGCAGGCAGGCCCTTGCCAGCACAACCCTGTGAAAGTGGCCAGCTCAGTTCTCCAGAGCTTAGGGGCTCTTCCACTTTCTTCTAGAAGAGGGGTAGAACAGGCATCATCCACCTCAGGGAAGGGGTGGGGCACATACTGAGCATTGAAAAATCTACGTGTGGCTGCCCAGGCCTGCCCATACTGCCCCCTTCTTCCTCCATGGTAGCCAGGGTGGATGGTGACAGTATGGGCAGGCCTGGGCAGTCACATGTACAACAGATGTCTATTCTATACCTTGGGTAGCTTCTGGCCCCCATACATTTAGTCCAATAGCTTACACCAAACACAACTCTCTCATTTACCCCTAAAAAGAACCATAGCAGTCGGGGCTGGAGAGATGGCTCAGTAGTTAAGAGCATTGACTGCTCTTGCAGAGGACCCAGGTTCAATTCCCAGCATCCATATGTTGGCTAACAACCATCGGTAACTCCAGTTCCAGAGAATCTGACACCCTCTTCTGACTTCCACAGGCATTGCATGACAGAAATGCACTTACATACACGCAGACAATATACTCATACACGTAATTTTTTTTTTGTCTTTTTGAAGCAGGGTCTCCTTGTAGCCCCAGCTGTCCTGGAACTCCCAAGTGCTGGGACTACAGGCATGTGCCACCATGCCTGGCTCACATAATTTTTTTTTTAAAAAATAGATAAATTTTTTTAATAAAAAGAACCGTACAGTCAAGTTAATGACAAAATTTCAAGGCCTAGTCTAGATCTTTCTTCCTATCATGCAGGAGACAGGTGGTAGAAGTTAAGAGCTAGACAGAAGAGAGGAAGGAAAGATCCATGCTAAGGGAAGCTGATACCTATTCCTTGCTGTATGTAACCATGGCAATCTGCCAGATGTTCCCAGGGCAGTCTGAGGTGCCCAGAATCCTCACTGTCCTTGAATGTTGTTGCTTTCAATTTTCTCAACTCACACTGTGTTACAGAGACCTCTACCACCAGCAAAGTTTGTATTTTGTTTGTGACTCATTTTCTAAGAAACTGAAGTTGAACGATCATCTACTCTGCACAGGGGGAAACTGAAGAAAGGAAAGAAGGGAGCCCGTGTTTCATTGGCTCTGCCCGCCCCCCGCCCCTGTTTTCATACCCACATAGCCTTCATTAACCTGAGGCAAGAGGAACTCTAGGCTTCTCAGCCCCTAGAACAGCATTTCTGAGTAGCCAGGATTACTGAACACAGACTTTCCCCCCTCCCCTTGGCTAGATGAAACACAAGCAAATCAACAGCCACCTACAAAACAGACTATGCATTCAGGCAACTGTATCAGGAAATCATGGTATCTGTGAGTCTCTTCCTCCCTCACAGCAAAGGGCCCTGGTGAGGCATGTTTTCACCAGAAGGAAGTGAAGGTAGCCCAATATGATTGCCTGATTCTGCCGGTCCTCAGATCAGGGGGCTCCCTGCCAGGCCCCATGAGAAGACAGGGGCTCTGTCTCCACACCTGTTCCATGACAACAATCACCCATATTGCCTGCTCAGGGTTGTCCTTCAGCTGGATGGAGGCTGAAGATGCAGCTGGGGGCTCGTGGGTGACATTATGGAGAGTGATGCCTTCCCCACTCTTAGCTTCCTCATTGGCTCAGTGTCTCTCTCTGAATGAAACCCCAGATGATGAAGGTATGATCCAGGCCTTTGACCAAGCACACAAAGCTGAAATCTTCCAGCTGTCCTGGAAAGTGGCCTTCTCCTTTGTATTTTTTTTCACGTTGAAATAGTGAGAAAATATCAATGGATGGGGTCACATAGTCATTGAGCTGCTTCCCCATGGTACAACTTGTATTCTCTCAAATAGCAAGGCAGGACCATCATAAGAACTAGGTGAGGCAGCGAGAGAGGGTGACCTGTGACCTGGAAGCACTTCAGTGATGCAAGATAGCTTGTGTGGATTTGGGGTGGAATGGCTGCAGACTCTCACAGGCTCTTAAGCTGCAGCATTGGGGTAATTACAGCACAGGGAGGAGAGGAGCAGCAAGGGCCCCCAGGATCTGCAGATACCAATGCAGAGCAGGTGCCTGGCCTCCAAGCTAATTGGTGAAAGACTTGGACAGGTGAAGTAGTGTGTATTTCTGAGCACTGGGGCAATGGGGGTGTAGAATATCTGCTCTGGCCCTGACTAGACCTTCGCCTGGGCCCTATTAACAGTGCCATTAAATCCACAGCCATTGGCGTCAGGACCACACTTGGTTATAATCAGAAGCCTAAATGTGTCCACAGGCCCAAGGCTGGGCTCCCCCTCCGGTTACTCCACAAATGTCCATGAACACGTTATGACTGGCTGCCACTGTGATACGTCTTTTTTAGCATCTTGATTATATGTATGTTCATGTGTTTTTGCATGTATATGCATGCACACATATGTGCATGTGGCATGTAGAAGCCAGCGGTCAACATCAGCTGTCTTCCTCAATTGCTTTCCACCTTATTTTTTGAGACAGGATCTCTCTCTGTGCCTGATGCACATCGATTGATCTAGGCTGGCCGGCCAATGAGCAGCTCCATTCTTATAGTGGAGAGACGTAGGGTCCATCACAAGGGGGTACATGTGGGTCCCACTTGGGCAATGCTATTGACAGACCTGGAAACAGATGGAACCACACATTCTGTGTCAGCTGTCCTGCTTCCAAGAGGTCATTATTTTCTTTCCACAGTCCCCAGAAGTCCTCATGGAATACATTGGGCATAAATTGAGACGAGTGACTCACTGTATTCCTAGGACCATGAGCATGGGGACAGGGACCATATTTTTAGCTTAGGTTAAGGCACATGAGTTAAATATATGGGTGGATGGATGAAAGAATGGACAGATGGATGGATGACTAAATAAAACCTTTGGTTTCCCATCTGTACTTTCTGACCTTGGGCAAGCCACTTAACCTCTCTGTACTTTAGTTTGTCACTTGTGACATGAGAATTATGGTACTAGAACACACTCCATAGTGCTGTGGTGAAGATTAAATGGCTTAATGCATGTAGAACACTGTTCACCACTTAGTAAGTGCTATGGGGGCGCTGGTTTGCCAGCAGGGGACAAATCCACTAAGTTCTGTGAGCCTCAGCAATGCTGGGGAAATACATGGTATCTATCTCTGGGGTGTTATTAAGATTAAGGGTTGAGAGTTGTCAAAGTGGATAGCATAGGTTAGGGGCAGCTTTCAAGAGAGATCTGTCTGAATAGGGTAGAAATTGGACCCATGGAACTGGATAAAGAAGCAGAGGAAGGTCTCTTGGATCCAGAAGATGGAGCACTTTCACTAGCACAGCAAAATCCTGAACTCCAACCCAGACCCACTCATTCCATCAAAAAGCCTGAGTGGGGCCAAGGTCCCTAAATCTTCACCCTTCTTAGAGTATTTGGGTATTTGCTAAGATTCTAGAGTAGCCTTTATCCCTCTTGAGAATTGGGTAGGGGGGAGGCATGCCCACTCTGTACTTCATCCCCACAGCAGGCTTTTCCTAGATGAGGGGGTTAGCAGCACCCCTACCCCCAGCTGGACCTAAAGTACCAAAGGCCCCACAACAGCCTCCCTGTGGCCTGCAGAGCAGCACCAGCATGGTGATATAGGGAGCCGGAGCTGACA